TCTATGATTCTATGATTCTATGATTTTTGGAATGAAGTGACATTAAATGCCTTCATCTAATTTCTTAAACAAGAGTCTAGCCTTCTTACTTTTCAGTTCTCATCTTTCTCTTCCACTCAAGAAATAAAGGAATGGCAAACAGACTCAGAAACCAGTGCATATATACACATTATCCCTGCAAACATTAATAAGATAAAAGAGGAAAAAAAAAGCGCAGTATAATACATGTAAGACAGATGACACACCAGAAAGGGATGACAGAAAAGAAAAAAGAGAATGTCCAAATGAAGAAGGTTGCAAAATAAGGAAAATAGAGATGATCAGAACAGAAGGAGAAAAGAATGCGCCTGGACAGTGCTTAGCACATTCTGGGGTTTATCAATTATAAAAATAAATACCAGTTAATAACATCGCTCTTCAATTATTATTGAAGAGGTGTTATGTTCTATAGGTCTACTAGTGTAACTATATAGAGTCTGGCTGTGTCTGGAAGTTATATATTATGATATGTCCTGTATTTGGAAGTAATACATCCATCAACAATGCTTTGGTAAACATGACTGTATACATTACACAGAAATAGATAAAATTCTCTGGAGTCACCTTTCCCGCAGCTTCCAAATCTTCTTTATCTTTTTTAGCATGCCCAGCCAACATCTTTATTTCAATCATTCCTGCCACTGCAATGATTGGCACAACAGCTAAAAGTAGCAGGGTCAGCTGCCAGCCATATATTAATGATATAATAATTCCAGTTCCCAGGTTAGCTATGTTTTGGGCAATTAATGCCAGTCTGACACCAGTTGCCTGGAGGAAGAAAAAAGACATTTCTTGCTAAAGTAACTGCATCTTAAATAAGGAAAGCATTCTCACCTGTAATATTCCTGATTCTCAAAACACTATTTAGAAAGGCTTAACTCAGATTTCCCATTTTTCAAAAAGGGAGTTTCTTAAATAATTTTGTAAAAAGTTATCTAGATCACATTTAATTCTTCTCTCCCCATATTCTGATTACTTAAATTTGCACTGCAATTTCTAAATTCTGCTGTTGAAGCTGAACAGACTTTAACCATATCACATATTTACATTTACAGCTAAACATTAAAATCTGTCACATTTTGTAGATCATGCAGCTAGCTTTGCAAGTCATCACAGAGCCCAATGAAGAAGAAAATTAAATGTTTAAGTTCTACTATGGAAATAAAGCCAAAGATAGTACAGAACTCCTCAGTTCAAAAAAAAAGCACATAACTTCATATAGCAGTAAAAATTTACTTAAGCATACACAAATAATTACATTCAGTGCTCTTCAGCCTAATATTACAGCCTCTGAAAGTCCACAAATTACTTATAAAGAATCTCCAAAAAGTAACAAGGAAAAGGAAGTCTGTTGCTACTATGTCTAATTTTTTTTAATTTAAGGAATCTGTACAATCAAAAAAATAGCAGGAGGTCATAACTAAACAAATTTGGATGCATATTTTTAGGTAAATAAGATATCTCTAAACAGGCTTCTTAGATAAAGAGATTCTCAATGAATTTGTTTAATAATGATGACAATACAGCACAATAGTAAACTTTAAAAAATGATTACTTGGAAATTATTTTGTAAACATATAACCATCATTGTTATAAAACACATCAATGCATTCTATACCAACTATTGTTTTAGAGTAAATTTTAGTTGTCAAGGTCAAGACTGTTATCCAACCAGTCAAACCCAAGCTGCAACTTTACTACATACTAAACCAAATATGAAAAATTACAAAACAAAATTTTACTTACTCCTTTCACTTGTGAGGCATCATTAGCCAGTCTTGTAGTTAATGCTCCAGTGCTATTCCTAGAATTATCAAACCAGCTCATGTCCTACAATAAGAAACATTTTTCTTAGGACCAGGTTTTGGACATTTCATATAAACCACAAAGTAAAACTGAGGTCTAGCTAAATATAACTGAGTTCAGTGTCAGAAGACTGTGTATGTGGCAGTGCATCCATTCTGCATATTTAATTAAGTCTAATTCCTTCATTGCACAATGAATATGTTTAGAAAAAAATATATGCTTGTGGATGCTCTGATGTGTGCACTGTCACTGCTGAGAAGGAAGGAGAGTAGCCTGGGGAATTCCCAAACTCAAAATTTACCCTTCCCCACCACTGCTAAAACTGCATCTCATTGGAGGAGATGACTCTTCAGTCACACTCCTTTACTATTGCAAAGCTGGCTGGGGATGAATTAAGCGCAAAGCATTTTCAGGGTAAAAACTCCCAATTCATTGCTTTGTTTCTCCCCAGATTGAAGAGGCTTATTTGGTAGCTATGAGAGAGGAAAAACAAACCAAAACAAACCAAAGCCCAAACCAAACTGGTCTATCTGATCAAAGTCAATTGTTGGGGTCAGGCACACAGTTTATAATTTAGTCACCATGTGACCAAATATCTGCTTTAAACTTTCATGTGTAATATGCACTGAATGAAGATCTGGTGATGTAGTACAGGCATTTGTGACCTCAAGACTCAATTGTAAGATTGCTCTTTCATTAGGTTTTCAGTGAGGCTGATCTATAAATCATAGTTTTTCAGAATACAACAGCTTTCTGTCTGCATTGCAAACAGTCATGTTCACATGAATCAAATTCTATGTCTACATGTAGCTTTATATGCAAGACATAAACTCCCAGAAATATTATATCGTATATATGAAAATCTAAAATACCGATCCTGAAATCATGCAAGGTTAAGGCCAATTTAGATAACTACATGAATTACTTAAAATCACCATGAAATATTTACAATTTCATTCTCTGAAAGTGGCTTTAGATTTAAGTATACAATCTCATTATTGTATTAATGAAAAACAATTATAGATTTGGGAACTCTTTGAAAGAGACTTTCAAGAAATAAAAACATATTTGTACATACTACAATTTAAATCAGACATTTGAAGTAAGAGTTACAATGTAAGCTGTAATGCATTGTATTGCATTTCTTTAGGGGACAAGGCACCAAGAAAGCAAAGCAGGCAAATGAACACGTAATGGGATACTGCTGGTTCACATCAACTTGTCAAGCCATAGTAACTTGGCTGTAAATCTAAGTCCTTGCAAGGAGTACATAAAAAGCTCCCGTACTTGTATTGATTTAAGACTTTCCCTCTAAGGATACTTTGCTTAACCACATGTAACCAACCAAATTGGTTTCTAGACTGATTTAAAGAATCTTCTCTTAGACAAGTCATGATGTGATACTGTAGAATACAGTTATTTTACGATATCTATAAAATTAATTATTTTTAAAACCCTGGAAATAAAAATATTTATTATCTTTACCTGTCTAAGCATTGCTTTAAATGCCATGAATCGAAGCCTCATTGTAAGAATTTCTCCAGCTTTGCCAAATGTGAAACCCTATTTGAGAAAAGGTACAATGCTTAGCATACTATTACATTGTTTGTGTTTATTCAATAAATATTTTAGACACATTGTCTCTACAATGTTGAAGTACAAAATATTGCAGTCTTGATTGCACAAAGCAAATGTAAAAACAGGTTTAATATTCATAAATTCTAGCAGATTCACAGTACAGACATTCAAATATTATTTCTCAAGAAAATACAGAGAGTATAGCAATATTTCCCAGCACTGTTTCACCAGCTTGCTTGAAGGGAAAGATCACTAATCAACTCTTTGACTTCCTTTTTATCTGAGCTGACCTAAGTCAGATTTAAACAAGTGGCTTTTAGGCCATTCGTTTTAGGTTAAAGACTTCATAAGGCAATCTGGGGTCACTGAAGTCAAATGCAAATTTCCCATTGACTCCAATGGAATTAAGATTTCTTCCCTGGGATCCTAACACAACCTGACATAGTTGTCGGCAGTAATACATAAATGTTTTATAATGAACTGAACATATCTTTAGCCAGATATATGAATCATTTTAAGAAGATACAAAAAGGGATGTGCTGGTTAAAATTTTGGGAAGATACACTCTTCCTACATTTTAGTATGACATCAGTGTTTATAATTAGCTCTGTTTAGCTCACTACCACCTTTATGTGATTACAACTATTAATTGTTTAGAATCTACATTTGTGAAGTTGAATACTCTTCCCACTCATATTTAAAACATTATATGAACATTTATAAATTGAACAAACCTGTCATAGCCATCTACAACTCAGGCTTCTCTACCCAAGGTCTTCTTGCATTCATGTGCAACAAGACAATTCAGTAAATAAACCAGGAGGTTTTTGCAAGAGACTGTTTATGCTGCTGTCCCAAGTGCACTTTATTGTTCTACTGTGTAGGCTCATTTAATAGATAAAATTATACAACCATTTTCAGAAATTATAAACCAGACTACATATGAAAATACTTAAATGCCAAAGTTTGTACCTTTTTTTTTTTTTTAAACTCTGGCAGTGTTGTAGCAGTTAGATACATATAAGAATGAGGGTAAAGTTAAAACACTTTTTTTGTAGAAGCTAAGATGGCTACAGAGATCAGTGAGACCAGGGGATGAGGTATTACCATTCAACTATTAGTATTTAAGCAGGAGGAGATGAATATCATCATGATGGGTGTTACTTGACAAACTGGGCCTGGGAATCTTTGAGGGGGTCTCACATAATAAGACTTGAATGGGGAAGGGGTTAGGGGAGTAAAAAATTGATGAGCTAAGGCAGGAGACTGGCAGATTTGAAATTACTTACAGATTCAAATAGGAAAGCTTGAGGGTGAGAGGGAGTGGTAGAGCGTGAAGGCTGGAGGGGCTGGCTGCTACGTGGCCACAGAAAAAAAAAGTGAGAGGATCCAGAGTTTCATGCTGAGATGTGTTTGACTGGTGAAGAAGAGGGGAAGTTCTGAAGTTAAGAGGTCAGAATAGGTTGGAAGGTCTCTAACACATGAGTAGGTCTAGGTCAAACAAGATTCAGTTCACCCCAAGGCATATCTAGAACCATAAATGTGGGTTCTGGTTTGAGTTGGAGACATGTATTAAGAAGATACAAACTTTTAGTATATTTCAGATCTGGTTTCTAAAACTTGATGAACAATTATAATAAAGCTAAAATAATAAAACATACCTGAAAAAAGAATGTAAAAAAGTAAATGATCCCAAGTACTAAAAACAACACTGAAAATAAGTTGCTCTTTTCTCTTAAAATGGTCTTGTCAGATTCCGAAAAAACCTATAAAATAATATTTAAAACAACATTTTTTAAAAACACCTGATAATCTAAAATACTCCCATCTTTCTCAATAACTATATTTGGTAGTCATTTACATTCATATAAAACTTGAGTATATGTTACATATGATTATACGTATAATAAGAAAATTTCAGATTGTAGCAAGACTTTTAGGATTTTGTAAATTTCATACAATTCTTCAGATTTTTGTAATACTGCTTCATCCACTCCTCAGCATTATTATGCAGTGATTGTTTAAGACCTGGTTTTATTAGAAATAAATTTGGTGGGCTTTAAAGTTTTTTGCATATTTTATTCAAACTTACCCCTATAATTTCTGAAAATATGATTGCAAATGCAGGTTGTAAAGCTCCATTGATAATTGCACATAAAGTTCCAGCTACAAAGTATGGCCATTCAGTTTTGTTCAACTTCAGAATTTTCAGAAATGAAGCTGGAGGTAATTCTTCATCCTAAAAAAAATGGGAATTCTGTCAGGACAAACATGTATGTATTTGGAGAAATATGGAGAAAAAGAGATATTAATAGCCAACTTCCTACTCCTAAAATCTACTCAAGGGAAGTCAAAATGTGTACTTTTTAATAACATGAATAATTAACCGATTGTACATTTCTTTTTATTATTTTAATACATGGAAGAAGGAGCTGTTAGAATGTATCTACAGCTCTTGTCATTATATTTTAGTTTATCTATATAATTTTCATTCATCCATACTCTTGGTATTCATTCTGGGCATATTGCTGTGTGTAATCCATTACTAGATTAATTCAAGTAATTGTTCATTAAGCAATTTATAACAGCAAAGTATTTGCTGGAAATATGAATGCAATCATATTTGTTGTATAGGTTTTTTTAAGGTTTGTTGTAAGAGTTATATATTGGCCAAATGTTCTGTTTCTGATCAAAAAATTAATGTTTAATCTGTACAGACTATGTCGGTATGGTATGTAAATATATTAAGTATATTTCTTTTACAGGAAATTGATTTTCAAGAATAAACACACCCCTGTTATAAAATTTTTAAGTCTCATTTTATTCGTATAATCATTCATGATGAGAATAAAAAAACAAGTTATGAATATTACCAGTCAAAGGCTCTTTAGAATTTAAAAATTCTCATTTTTTTTTCACCCCTATCAATGCCTCCTTCTTCTTGCACCTTTCTAGAGCAGGAGAATGAATTTAATTTTAACATACTTTGCTGAAAGGAATCAAAGTTCACTAAGCTCTGCAAAGATACTTACAAGTGAACTCGTTTTCTCATCAGGATCACCATTTTGTGCTCCTGGCTTTTTCATGCTTCCCCGAGTTGATCGTCTCCTCAATCCTTTTGTTAAGGATTCTTTAAATTCTGGGTCAGATTCACTTTTTTTGACACTAAGTGCATTCTCATCTTTTTCTGATGATGGAACTTCAGCTTCTATTGCCTGAAAGAGGGATGAACATGATGATAAGATTAATTATGCATATATTAATGCATCATGCATTACTTTGAACTGCCAAAATGATGAGGTAATCAAAGTAACTTTGATTGTTTCAGTGGAAAGAGATATGGGGAAAGCAATGTATAATGCTATAAAGCAGATATGAACATCTGTATTATATTTGAGTAGATCTCTGTCTTCAGAGCTTGATTCATATATGAGTATCGCAATTCTCAAGAAAATACTTCTACTAAGTGGAGGGCAGGGGAGTGGAAGTAGCTGCTTCTTTTTATGAATTAACTCCTAATAGAGTTTTAAATTGAGTATAAACCATTTGCACGCATCTTGGGAACTTTCTGAATGAGTTCTCAGTGGATACACTGTTTATTCATGTAGTGAGAAAAAGTTACCTCTCATTAGTACAGAACTCTTAATAATTTTGGACTTTAAATATAATAAGGAAGTTCATAATGGAACAGGTCAAAAAGAGATTTTGACTGAAAAATCTGAACAGTTTGGAAGAGCGCCCTACTTTTGGAGGTAGTTTTGCCAGTTTCTGACAGAATAAATAATGTCTACCCACCACTGAGGTATTTAATAGCAACTGGATTCAAAGTTGCCTTCAACATGTATTTCTTTTTTTCCAGAAAGTTTTTATTTCTTACTGCTTTTTGTACTACTAATAAAAATAACTTTTTTTGCCTTCTTTCAATTTTTTTATTTCTATTATTTTCTGTTTTCTTTCCATTTTATATTTCCTGATTTTTCCCATTATCACATTTGCTTGAATAGAAAGTTACTTTGAATCTAAGGTGACCAAGCACATTCTTATAGTTATTTTATGAAGGAATGTTTTAATTAGCCTAGTTTATTCTTTTCAGTCTGACATACTCAGATAGCAGTTTCAGTTTCTTTAATGGGCATGGTGGTTATGCAGTAAAACACCAGTGACACAGAAGGCTACAGTGAAGCTCAGCTATAACCTATCACATGGGACACTGGGAAGCATCAAAGTATTTTGTTCTTCACATAATAAGTTTCTGACATTTATATTCATTTCCAATCTCTCTGTTTCTGGTTACATAACTTTAAAAGTGTACAAATTTTTGCACTTCGCATAGCTGGATTATTTTTCTTTTTCTCCTATTCCTCCACATTTTTTTTTCTTTAGAAAGAAATTCAGTATGAAGGATTATAACTAAACAGCTTAAAATACACATGCTCTATCCTCCACTATCAGATACTGTATCTTACCTTTTATCATAGGCTAAGAACAAGCAATGGAATAGCAAACTACTGTAGTCAGCTCCACTACGTTGACCGCATAAAAGGAAAATATAAAATACTCTTTTAAGTTTAAATCCCTAGAGGACTAAAAATGTACTATCCTGGGTTTAAATAGGTCTGGTATCAAAACCAGTGGTCTTCTCTCTCAAATTACTGCTCTCCTTGCAAAGTACATATTTTTTTGCTGTTAACAAAATATGCTGCAGAATTCCCCATACTTCTGATAGCATACAATAAGTATGGACATGGAATACAAAAAAGAAAATGAGGCAACAGCTAGCAACAAAGAAGTACCTGCATGTTAACAAGTTTGTAGTAGATTCCCTTTCTCTCAAGCAATTTAAAATGATTCCCTTGTTCTGTGATAACTCCACCTTCGAACACAGCTATAAGATCTGCATTTCGGACTGTTGACAGTCGATGAGCTACTACAACCGTGGTGCGTCCTTCCCTTGCCTAGAGATAACAATACTTAATATGAGTATTTCTAAGTATATTTTAAAATGGTTCATCTCCATGTTAGAGTTGAATAAGACCTAAGGGAAACATTAAAATGGTTCACGGAAAAATATAAATTAAAAAAAAAAAAAAATAGATTTCAATGAGTACTTTAAAACAGAAATATAATCTTTAGCTTGAAAATTAATATTAGATACAATCTTTCACTGTGGCACATAAAAACATCAAATTTTGATCACAAATATCTAAACAAAATTCTCAATATTTAAAATTTTAGAATGTTACATTATGAACCTTAAAATTTTAAAAATGCTAAAAGTTTTTATATTTAAGCCCATAGTTGTTCATTTAAACTTTAAAATATGCTTATAGTCAGAAGTATTAGAAAATATTTCACATTGACATTTTAAAAATTTCAATGTTTTAAGCTCTAAGTCATTGCTGACTCATGTAGCTTCACTGAAAAAATTCTGTACAATTTCACGTGCAATACATTTCAACTAACTGCCTGTCTTTGGATTTTTATAAGCCTATTGCACATAATGTATCAAATGTCACAGCTTGCCATTTTAATTACCAGGCTGTATTAAAATGATCAAGCAATTTTAGTTTAAATAATCAAAGTACTGATCCCAAGCAGTGGAATTTTGTTGGAACCTGGATGGAGTTCAACTTCAGTGATGACCCTCAAGGGTCCATACTGGGACCCATAATATTTAATATCTTCATCATTGACACGGATAAATGGGAGTGACTGCACACTCAGCAAGTCTGCGCATGACACCAAGCTGAGTGGTGCAGTTGATTCACCTGAGGGAAGGGATCGCATCCAGAGAGACCTTGAGAAGCTTGAGGAGTGGACCCATGTGAACCTCATGAAGTTCAACAAGGCTAAGTGCAAGGTCCTGTACATGGGTCAGGGCAATCCTCAATATCAATACAGACTGGAGGATGAATGGATTGAGAGCAGCCCTGAGGGGAAGGATTTGGGGGATACTGGTGGATGAAAAATTGGACATGACCTGGCAATGTCTGTTTGCAGCCCAGAAAGTCAACCGTATACCTGGCCTGCATCAAAAGAAGCATGGTCAGCAGGTTGAGGGAGGTGATTCTGCCCCTCTGCTCTTGTGAGACCCCACTTGGAGTACGGCGTTCAGCTCTGAAGTCCCCAGTATAAGAAAGAGATGGACCTGTTAGAGTGGGTCCTGAGGAAGGCCACAAAAATGATCAGAGGGCTGAAAGACCTCTCATGAAGAAAGCCTGAGATAGCTGGGGTTGCTCAGCCTGGAGAAGTGAAGGCTCCAGGAAGACCTTAAATGTGACCTTTCAATATATAAAGGGGGCTTATAACATAAGTGCAGAGAGAGGCTTTTTACCAGGGCCTGTACTGACAGGACAAGAGATAATGGTTTTAAACTGAGAGAGGGTAGATTTAGACTGGATATAAGGAAGAAATTTTTTACGATGAGGGTGGTGAGACACTGGAACAGATTGCCCAAAGAAGCTGTGGATTCTCCATCACTGGAAGTGTTCGAAGTCAGGTTGGACAGGGCTTTGAACAACCTGGTCTAGTGGAAGATGTCCCTGCCCATGGCAGAGGGGTTCCACTAGATGATCTTTAAAGGTCCCTTCGAACCCAAACCATTCTATGATTCCCTAGGTCTTCTGCAAAGGTTTATAAGGATCAAAATTTGTAAGACAATGTGACCAAGAGAAGCTAGACAAATAACTTCTCTATTAAATGTATTTCCATTAATAATTCTCCTCAAACTAACTGTCTCTACCCAACAGCAGCAGGAAGCATTACAGTACTGCAGCAGACTGAGTAAATTCAGAATACCATTTGGGAGTACAGCCCCAATATGAACATAGAGACTCCTGAGTTACACCAGGAATCAGTTGTTCGTTAGTGAGACAGCTTTACATTAAGAACAAAACAAGCACCTAGGAGTATTCATGTTAACTGAAGCAAAGTTTACTTGGAGTATTTCCTGCCAAGTCACTGCTACAATCACTTATGACATGCTGATAGTGCTTACCTTGTCTGTCAGGCTTCAATACAAGTTAATGAAGTAGGTGACTGACAACAATATGTATGTCAGTAAGACAGATAATTGCAGGGTATGGTATTTACACCAAGAAGACGTTGATTTAAGCTTAATAATGCAGGAAATATAATTCCATCTTCTCACTTGAAACAAGATTATTCTCTGTAATACGTGCAGGATCTCAAAAATTCTCTGCCCAGAGAATATTTGCCAAATCCAAGTTTACCTTTTGTGGTTTAAAGGCCTCTACTTCTTGCAACTCTTTCATTAGGCTTCCGCTTACCTGCTTCATTTTAGGGCACTACTGACCTTGTCCAGTGCTGCCTGCACAACTGATTCACTCTCAGTATCCAAAGCTGATGTTGCCTCATCAAGCAGAAGAATTTTGGGATTGCGAACCAGAGCTCGGGCAATTGCTATTCTTT